GATAGTTTCAAACTGTAGCAGTATTGCGTTCATTTATATTGTAAAACATAAACAAGGTGCTTGATACATGCTATGACAGCTTACTTAAAAAAGGTTTTATGTTATATTCAATATTAAATTCGCTAGCTCGCCATATTCTGTGTAACCCATAGATTTAATCTGAAGTTCTCACTTGTATTTGTAAATTTAAATAAAACGAGATGATTGGTTTACATCAACGATGCAGCATCCCAACGACACAATTAATAAAACGACAGCTAGATTTTAACAATGAAAGGATGTAACAATATGAATAAGTACTTAATCGTCGTTAACACTTTTTTTCTCAGAAAAATCTAAAGAAATACGAATGATACCAAAGTAATATTCAAACTTATAGTTCGAAAGCAAACTGACAATGTCATTGCAAAAAGCTACGATCAAAAGACAAACAGTTCACAGAAAACAACATAAAAAACTAAAGACTAAGCAGTACAAACCCCACCAAGGTATTGTTGATAATATTACTTTACGATTTAGATTAAAATTGTTGATAACATTACAATACGAATTCAAAAACTGATTTTATATGTTTAGAAATAATAGGTTGTTCTATGTTATCAAAGAAGTAAATAAAAAGTTTTAGATTGTTGGGACTTTTAATATACTTAATATATTAATAAAAACAATACCTTTATTTATTTTTGCTAGAAAAGACCTTTTTTTATCTTTTTATCAATTCGCGGGAACAGCCTATGGTAATTAAAAACCGTAACGATAAGTTTTCCCTCAATACATAGACTGAAAAACAGTATTGTATCACACTCTTAAAATATTATTTAATTCATGAATTTGTACTTCATCCATTTTCCTTAATAATTAATATTGAATGAGGATATTGTATCACACTCTATCAGTTTTATATCATTTCTTAATTTGGATTTCATCCATTTTGCATAATGATTAATGTCTACATTTATTCTTGAATATAGACATAAGATTTGGAAGTGAAAAACGTTTTCCATGTTCAATTCGTCTATTATTGTTGATACGTTTACCATGAAACCTGTGTTTCATTGCCTTTTATACAGTCAACAATACTCATGATATCAATTAAAGATTTAAATGTGTTGCCTTGTCCCATGATATAGTCATTTAGACCGAGAGTATATGCAGTATGTGGATTTGTTTTTTCTCAATCGATTTATGAATTTCGAACAGCGGGATACTACTGTTGCCTTTATTTGTCATAACTCTTGTAATCAACCACAGCTTTCAGATTTTTAAGTTAGGGGAATCTTCGAATTGTTTATATGATTGTTCATTTTTTTCAAAATGCTTGTAAATAAAAAAAAATGGATTTCTTTGGTCTATTTAAGTGGCATAGATTTTTGATGGACAAAATTAACGACATGTTTGTCCGACATGCAGTTATATTTTCGTCATGAAACCAGGTATTTAACGTTAAAAGTTTTCAAGTATGTCATCGGAAAAAGAGATCAATGAACTTCCCAATTTTACTGACATTATTTGTTGATGATATACAGGAGGAGGTGTGTCATGTTATGGATGTTTTATACATGTTGTTTAAACGATCTATGAAAACAGTAAAACAACAAAAATACCGAACGCCAAGGAAAATTCTAAACGGAATGTCCCTTATAAAATGGCAAAATCAAAAGCTCAAACACATCAAACGAATGGAAAACAACAGTCATATTCCTGACTTGGTACAGGCATTTCCTTATGTAGAAAATGGTGGATTAAACCTGGATTTTATAGCTAGCTAAACCTCTCACTTGTATGACAGTCGCATATAATTCCATTATATTGACAACAATCTTAATCACTATAAAAACAAACAAATATGTCAACAAAGAAAATCAAAATGGCATATGGATAAAGCACATAAGCAAAAATGAATGACAAGAATACAAAAAAGGCGATAGCACAATAACACAAAAGTTCTAAATTTGCAGGATGAACCGTCTAGGGGAAAGAAACCTGGACGTCAGGTGATACAATTAAATTCTCATAATCAGTTAGTCAGAATCATTAAAAAAAAAACTGCACTAATCCTTGACTGTTTGCTGACAAACTGCTAAATTCTTAACACTATCTACACAGAGCGAGCTAAATTGAAAAATTTATGAACAAGGAAGATGCTTTGAAACATAATTACATTCATTTTTTTCGTCTTTTAGATTGATATAAGTGTTAATTTTTAACGAAATGCTACACTGCCTATCGAATCTTTTACGTACCACAAAAATAAACCAGGAAGATATTTCTGAAAGGAAGATATTCTGTAACATGGTAACATAACGAAAAAAAATGTATCTTTTAGATAGATAAAAGTGTTGATTTGGGAGAAATATAACACTGTCTACTTTGGATAAGTACCACTTATTTGGATAAAAACACAACTGATTTTTATGCACTTGGTAACATTTCTGAATAATAACCATTCAATGGATATAAAAGTTTATAAAAAAGCGGTAGATGTTGGGGTTACGTCATCTGTCAGCAACCTATCTATACCAAATAACAAAAACGTTTTGGAGTCAATATACAGTTACTTTAACAAAGCATAAATGTCGTTACAAAATACCGAGCTCTAAATCGCCCTTAGTCTAACAAGATATAAATTAATTAAACAGAAACTATTTTGCTGCTCAACAACATCATAATATGATATAACCCCTGGTCATCTATACAGAGGGGAATCCTATGCCAAATGTAAATTCCAAATCAAATATAACAATATTTCTCTCTCTCTCTCTATCTATCTATCTCTCTCTCTCTCTCTCTCTCGATCGATCGATCGAGATCGAGATCGAGATCGAGATCGATCGATCGGCACATCATTTCTCGTTCCATGTGATATTTTTTTTTTTTATTTTTGATTCAATTTGTATATTTTCAATTGATGTGTTTTACAAGAATAAACTATTGTTGTCTCTAACTTGTTATATAAAACAAATACTAAAATACTGCAAGCAATAAATAAAAAACGTCTTCCAAAAAACTTCTAAAAACTTTTAAAAAAAAAATAAAGCAAAAACAATTACCATTTAATGATATCGCTAGACGCGCGATTCGCCTGCATAAGACTCTTAAGTGGTACTCGGATTTAAACAGATGGACATCTAAAATAATTAAAAAGTTAAAAGAGCTTCGAATTTCTGGATGCCTTCATGATTGGATTACACAAAACGATCGTATTGAAGGTATTTCATGTTAGCATTCTGGTTAAAAAGAGCATTCAAAATAAAAATGTGTACTATTTCTGGTAAAGGACATTTAAGCTTTGATTATGATATACCAAAGTTGACCACATCTATGGTAGTTCATGTAAGACCATGAGTTCCGACTATGGCGATGGTGGTACCCTTGTAGTCGGAGCCGAAACTTACACCAGAAGAGACTTCGACCCAGTGATTGTAAAACATACAAAAGATACCAGACATATATTTTCGTATGCCATACGCGCGTTTAATGAACCATACGACTCATCTTAAACGGTATTATAAATTGCTTCTAAATAAACATCATAGATACCAGGATTTGAATTTTATACACCAGACGCGCGTTTCGTCTACAAAGGAATCATCAATGACCCTCGATTAAAAAATTCAAAAAGGCCAAACAAAGTACGAAGTTAAAGAGCACTAGCTAACTTCCCTGTCTTGATATCTATTATAATAAGTAGCGAATACCGAAAGTGAAATAATAATAGATTATGGTGGCAATTTATTTTCTTCACATTTCAAATAAAAGAAAGGCAAAAGATACCAAAGGGACATTCAAACTCATAAGACGAAAATAAACTGACAACGCCATGGCAAAAAAAGAAAGAAAAACAGACAAACAACAGCATACAAAACACAAACTAGAAAACTTAAGACTGAGCAACACTAACCCCACCAAATCCAGAGTTGATCTCATGTGCTCAGTGTGGGTAAGCAGATCCTGCTCTACATGTAGCACCCTTCTTGTTGCTCGTGTAAGTAAAATCGGATGATATGTATGTCATATTCGCGGAAAATAGGATGGGATTTAAGGTACGACAATTGGAACATATCATTCGTCATCTGAGAAACAGAGATTTCATAGCAGTAAACCACCTCGCCATGGCGTCCGTAAAAATAACGAAGAGATAATTTCAACATCACCACTTTGAACTCTTGGTTTAATAACTTCCTTGTGAGCAGCAACTCTCAATCACGGAAATCATGATAAGTAATACATGGCCTAGACTATCATTTAAACTTGAAACTTTATACTTCATATGCAGGCGCTGCTGGAATGTTGCTACATAGAGTTCAAAAGTTCAAAAGAGAGGCGAAAATAAACTGACAACTTCATGGCTAAAAATGTAAACGATAAACAGACAAACAACAGTACACAAGACACAACATAGAAAACATACGACTGAGCAACACGAACCCCATCAAAATTATACTTATAATGTTTGTTTTGTCAAGTATTTGTACTGAAATATATATATATATCTTTAGCAACGTAATGCCTCAATGCATATCTTTTGGATAATCTAAGATAATATATATTTTGCTCTTCTGTGTGTAAAGGTGTAATCCTTAGTCAAACAATTGGCCTGTTATTTTTATATTGCTAAGCATTTAAAGATGAAAATGTACTCACAAATTAGAAAACAAACAAAGTAAATGCCACAGGCACTTTTGTTTGAAAAAAATCGTTCTCTGGTTAGGCGATGAAAATATCTTTCAATGAATTTGGTATACACATATTTGTGAATGTCGAATTTTATTTCATTTAAAAGAAAAAAAAATAAACAGATGTTCGATTCATTGTTGAAATATAAAAATTCCAGAAAAAAGGCGTCTCCTCTTTTACTACGACCATGCCTTATTCATGTTATTGGAAACAACGTAAAAGAAAAAATGATACGGAAGGCGGTCCAGATTATATGCGATTGACAGATTAAGTAGACATACACTTACAACTAAATAAATGTAAAGTACAATCTATTCAGTCAGGCGTACATCAGCATCTAGCAAGGTCGAGAAATTTATGGATATCGATAAGTCGTCATATATATAATGTTAAAAAAAAGTTTCAACCACTGGATTACTTACTGCATAACACAACGATTAAGTAAAACATTTCGGCTTGAAAACTAATAATAGAACGTTTACTAAAAATTTCGAAACAACCTTTGATATATACTGACTGTCTCAATTCAAATACAAGTAAAATGTCTGGAGGCGAAGCATTAGGTGATGTCCCAGGTTTGGCAGCGTCCCTAACCATCATGTGTGTCTTAGCTGTAATATTGAACAGTATTGTGATAGTGGTCTTTGCAACCAAAGCACAGTCGTTCACTTCGGTGCATTTGTTCATTATGAACCTCTGCATCAGTGATATATTTCTTGCTGGAATAGCTTTACCTGTTCGACTGGATAACGGCTCACACGAAGGAGAAAGTTTCAAGGGAGGTATGTTCTATATGTACATATATAAATGGCACATGTCGCCGGATGCCGAATGAATTGCATGTAAAAGATTTTTTTCTTAAAAAATAAAATGTGAATACAAAACTTTTCAAAAACGGGCCACCGAAACTTTACGCAAGTTGAACATTTGTTTTTGTAATATACAGATAACTGAATATATGCTATCTTTAACGAATATCCTTGGATTAGAATTGCTATGTGAGTTATATACAACCTAAATCAACACTGAATATCTAATCTAATTTCCTTAAAAAGTAATCAATCATGATAAAAAAAAACTTAATTCATATATAATACTTACTTGTATCTCATTTGTTCAAATATTATACATTGACTAGAACAAAATGTTAATTAATTAAAAGATCCGACTTTGAAACCTTTTGTAGTTCAAAGTCAAAAATCGATTTTTAAATTGCCAGCAGGTTACTATTTCATCTCCTAAATCTCGTTTTGGAAGGAACGTATTATACATGAAACACAACATGCAACTATTAATATTTATAGGCGAATTTGAACCAGTTTTAACGTACTGAAGTGTGAAAAATGAAACTTCCTAAATAAGAAGGAGATCTAAATTATCTTAAAACAAGGTATTCTTAAGTCTCAATTTATAACAGCAGAAATATCTTTTGAAATTAATTTAGCAAATAAGCAAATATCATACCATGTCATCTGAGTGGTTTAATTAAGACATTTAAGGATGTTCGCTACTCTTGTTTTTGACTTTTTGTCAGATATTCGGAATCCTCTAGTTTTATTCATGTTAGTGCCTATACAAATTTTGCCCGCTAACCCCTATTTTTCTTTTCATAATCTTATTCCATATAGTTTAAATAGCCATATTTTAAAATGCTTTAAAATCCTTGTTATTTTTTCATAATTTTTTAAAGAAAAAGGGTGCCAATGTTAAATGTATGAAAAGTCTAGAGAGAATTATTTCCCGCCAAATTTTCAATGGCTTATATCTCGAAAACAAGCACACGGACCCTTAAATTTTTTCTGCTTTTTTAGTTCCTTTATTTATATACTATCAATTTATAACAGTCTTTTAAACAGCTTGTTATTTTGAAACAGAGTAGCAAACATCCTTAAAAACAGTCCTTTCATACTAATTTAAAATATATATATCAGCTTTTCACAATTTATTAGAGTTACTATATATCTCTTATAACAATTATACATCCGTCAATTATTCGTTGATATATTCAGAATTAATTAAGAAACTAAGGTTCCAACTCACTGAAGCAAAGTTGACGTACGAAGAATTTGGCAATTTCTTAAAGTCCCTTTTGATCATATATCTCTGCACGTGTTTAGGTCTTATACATCTTTGGCTTTCAAATGTTTGAGGTAAAGGATGTACTTAGGTGAAATTGAAAAAATCTAGAACTTAAAATTGATACTATAAGTCAGAAGAACATTAGTTTAGGAACAAAATAAGCTAAAAATATTAATAGATTATGGAGCTCCTTTTCGAGATATTTATTTTTTTTTTTTAATGGCGAGAAAAGGCTGACTCGGACTTTAATCTTATATTTGCATTGTTATTATTTGGGTCTCAAATCGAAAGAAAAGATTTCTAGAATCTTCTTAAATTTTGGTAAATGACTTTTATGAGCTATTGAAGTCTTATATGAAAAGAAAAATGGGTGTTATGGGGCAAAATATTTTACCCTGTATCGTAGGAAAACAAACCAAGGAGTCCGAACATCTGACAAAAAATCCTGAACCTGACCTAAGTACATCCTTAAGTGTTCTTGGTGAAGGTCAATTCAGAAAAGCGCTTCAGACGCATGAAGTAAATAAAATGTTATTTTCATCATCTGTAATATGTGTACAAGAATTATGAATATACACATTTACTAATAGTTGACTAAATTAGCAGGCTGTTTTACTAACTGCTAGTTCAGATATGGTGGTGAGATTGCGTTGCACTGCATAAAAGTTTAAAAACAAAGTGAGATGAATTCAATTCAAGTGTTTCATATAAAAAATTGTTAATTCTTTCTTTTTTTTTTTCTTTTTTTTTATCAATCCTAATCTTATGTATACAAACACATTGTCATCTATATTTTCAACTTATTAGGCCTCTAAAGTTCTTACTGCCATTATTTAAAGTAAAAAATTGTCTTCAAAAATATTGTGATGAGGTAAACTCAACCAGCGGTGTCAAAAGGATGTGGATTCTTAGAAATTCTAAAGAATCTTCAATCCCAGTCCTAATAGTTTTGCAATACTCTCTTTACTAATATTCCCTATGCTCATTTGAAAGATCGATTATATCTTTCAACAGTGCTTTTCTAAAAAAAAATTGGAATCGATACATTTTTTTTTTGTCTTAGGTTATTACAATTCTTACCTTGTGAAGAACCACACTGATTTCAACAACAAAAACACAAATGACGATATCTTCACTTAACATTTTGATCGACAACATATTTTTTGAGTTTATTGGGTTTCTAATTCAGGAAACAATCGGTATTCCAGTGAGTATTAATTGTGTACCATACCGGTCGACTTGTTTCTGTACTCATTTGAAACAGAATTCTTGCAAAACCGTCTCAAAGACAAAAGGGAAAGCCTGCCAGGTTAATTTATTTTAACTTTCAGATGTATTGATGATGGCCTGTCACTCAATAACTCCCATTTCTGTGAGTACTTGTGTCCTATTTATCCAAATGAACTTGAAATTAAGGGAGCTACCATTTGATTTTTTTCGGGGGGGGGGGGGGGGGGGGGGAATAGGATAACAAATTGTATCCTGCATTTTCATTTTAGTTGTAATCTCTGTCCTGCATTTTTATTTTTCACTCTATTCGGTCCTGTCTTTTTTTTTATATTAGTTTATCATGACTTTTTTTACTTGAATTGTCATCCTGCCTTTTTTTCAAATTTCATCCTAGCCCCTCACCTCATAAAAATCAAATGGTAGCTCCCTAAGGATACTACTAGAAATAGAAGGTCTACTCCATATCTGCGTGTTTTTTTTTCTAATATTGACACATATGGACGTCTTCTAACTAGGATCACTGACAAAAGTAATACTTACGATTTATATTTTCGCATTGTCAACTTCCAATTTATCAGCAGTACCACTCCCTCTTTCCCATTGCATTATGTTTATATATCTTAATTTATACGCTATGCGCATGCACGTTGACAATATCCATACTTAATTAACTAATAAATAAAAAAAATGGTTTAACAGTATAATGTGGAAGAAAACCGATTTTTTCCCATTCCATATTTTTACACTTTAATAAAAAGTGGATTTGAATGGCAGGTTATGCGTGCATATCAGAGGACACACGTACCCTGGGGATGCATCCGGTCTTACTCCTTTTGAAATTCGTGTTATTTCACCAGTTTTATTCATAAAAAACAAAGATGCGGTTATAAGTTGTAAAACATTATTTACATTGGATGTTATTGTGATACTGGTATATGAAATTTGGTCATTAATGGTTAGACGTTAAAACATACGAATACTTAAGTTAATTATATCTTGCCCCTTTCATGTTAAAAAAGGTTTTCGTAGAATATGGTATCATTTGAACGGATCTACAACATTAAATTCGTGTTTTTGTTTGGTAGAGAACAAACAACGGTCCTCAATTGTTTTTTTAAAAAAAAGTAAAGTAAATAACAAAAATACCGAAATCCAAGGAACATTCAAAACAGAAAGTCCTTTATCAAATGGCAAAATCAAAAGCCCAAACAGATCAAACGAATGGAAAACAACTGTTATATTCCTGACTTGGTACAGGCATTTCCTTATGTAGAAAATGGTGGATTAAACCTGGTTTTATAGCTAGCTTTTAAGTTTCTTGTAAATGGTATATGTATTTGTTTTGCAGGGGATCCAGTTTGCAAAATGATTATGTTTATCCCTTTACTGTCTATATCGTCATCAATTTCCACCATGGTCGCCATTGCTGTGGACAGGTTTAGGGAAATCATTAAACGCCACAAGCTGCTTTCAAAACAGGCAATGTACGTCATTATGGTTTCATGGGTTTGGAGTGTAGTTGTAAGTTCTCCACAACTTTACGAGTATAGCGTTTACTCGAACTATGATGAAGAGTACAATGTTACCTCATGCGGGTCACATGACATCGTTGAAAATTTTGAAACTGTGTACGCTGTCATTGTGATTGTCCTGTCTTATGTCGTACCTTTGATACTCATTACGATTAGCTATGTCAAAATAATGATCTTTGTTTGGAAGACTGGAAAAAATGTAGCTGGAAAGGAAAGTCAAGTCCTGAAAAAGAGAATGAAAATTGTTAGACTTCTCATCACAATAACAGTTGTGTTTGCTTTGTTGTGGTCACCTTACTTTGCTTTGTTTGGCATGGAGGTATGGATAATTAATTGATTAATTGATAAATATTTATTTGTGTACACAATTTTAAAAACAGGAATTCGAACATGAATACTATCGTGTCTTTTCAAACTGTTCAGCAATTTTGAAATTTAAATGCCCCACACATAAAAAGTTATCTTAAGCTACAATAACTTAATTCCTTTCCCTAATAGTGAGGTTCCGTTTGGTCCTTCTTATGTAGTGAGTATTTCTCATTTGGTTCAACATGTGACAATTTTTTTTGATAAACATCATTTCGCTTATCAATAATTGGAAACAATACTTATTTAAATGTTTCTTTATTTCTCATTGAAATTCTATATAGTTTGTTATGGGCATCATACAAAATAGTGTCTTTCTGTACTGTCGTTGCATGAAATCTTCTTTGAAATTAGCAACCAATATCAATAGGTCGTACATTGAAATATTTGTATTTGAGGTCTTTTCTGATTTACTGTTGAAACAAGTTTACAATTACATATGCCTATTGCTTGTGTTTAATACAGCTGCGTGTAACTCAGATCTCATTTAAGTATTATACATTCAAAGGATTTCAAAAATCTAAAAAACATATTTGACAGTACAACAGACCACCCAAACCAACGATAATCGATAAAATAGACGTACAAAAAAAAAGACAAACAACTCCAAAAACATGGGGGACTAAATAGCCTGACTTGGTCCATGCATTAGTTATGTCGCTTCATAGAACGCTTCTATTGGTACGTATTTCATCTCTATCTAGATTAGACATGCAGAGGATTCGGAAATTGAATCAAATGTAATTAAGTAGTTAAAGTCATCATATTACATGTGAAGTAAATGATGCCTCCCGTATGTTTTCATTTTACTATTTTGATCGGTTGATTGATTGATTGTTTGTTGGTGTTGAACAACACTACTTTCAGCACTCTTGACTACTAGTATATCGTTGCAATAAGATTTTGTTGGTAGAGGAAGCCGGAGTGCCCAGAGAGAACCACCAACCTTAGGCAGGAAAACAGGCAACCCTAGTCAATTAGAAACGGAATGGAACGCATCTGCCACATGCGGATTTCGAACGCACAACTTCAGTGATACTGAAGAGAATATTCTTTTACCACTCGGCCATCGAGGCCCCTTTGTTATTTAGAAATATAACATACTATAGAATGTTACTGCATCTAAAGCTTATACATTAGACTAAGTAAATACAGACGTCTTTGGGTTTGAGTACTGGAATATTTTTTAAATACATTAGAAATATCATTTTCTTTTCAGGAAATATTGGGTCTGGATGATACACTTCATACTGAATCTGGAACACATGTGACCAAGAATGTACTTGTCGTGTTGAGTACAATGTCAAATCCAGTCATTTATTTTGTATTCGATGCTAAGTTTCGAAAGGATCTACTCCAGTTATTGACGAGAAAACCATGTGGACAGCTACACGTGAACCAAGTACAGCCAAGTACGGATGTAATAAATGAATTAAGAAATAAGTTAAATACGGCGAGCACAACCGTCGAATCCTTTGAAACAGATTAAAAACTATCCAGTCTATTAAGTGATATTGTGGAAAATCTTGGTGATCGATAACAGTCATAGGTTTCTTTCAATCATTTTCGTCGAGGTTTTGCCTATTAACAGTATAAGCTGCTAACGGAACTTTAAACTGTAAAGTTTGTTATATAATTGTCGCAATAATCACCTGTTTCTGGTTTATAGTTTCATTTCTGCTTAATATATTGTTAAAAATAATTATTTTCTGTGATCTTTTAATGTGAGTTACCGATATCTATATAAAAATAAGGAGATGTGGTAGTATTGCCAATGAGACAACTATCCATCAAAGTTGTGGATGTAAGCAATTATAGGCAACCGCACGGCCTAATCGTTTTATAATAATTAAAAAATGATAGGAATTCTTAATATAAATAAATAATTTGTTAATATTAATAAATAGGGAATAAATTCCACAACAGCTTGCCATATGAAACAATTCAATTGAGAAAACTAACGGCCTAATTTATAAAACAATTTACGAAAACAAATATGACAGACATGGACGAACGACAACCACTGAAGTACAGGCACACATGGCGGGGTTAAACATGTTTGTGAGCGCTCTACTCTCCCCCTAAATTGGGATATATAACATGTTTTCTTTCTTTTAAGGATGATGTTGATTTATCATGATACTTGATGATTTTCAGTTGAAAGAATCGTGAGTAAAGTTCATAAATTCCAATCTCATTCAGACCAGTAGATGCACACACGATTCATAGCTAGTTTACCAATCTTTTGGCATTAGTTTTGGTTGACTGCTGTATAACTTTTGATACCGTCGATTGTTTATCCCTTGTTAAGGTGACTCGGGTGTCTTCCTCCATCTTGGATTTCGAAGTAGCAGATAACGTTGGTCTAGATATTTCATGAAATGTGCAAATTTTGAGAGTAGTATGTAATTTATGTAAAAGACTTTTGATGTAAATATAGAAAATTGTGTGTTTTATCATAATTACGGCTGTAATTTCTCAAAAACACCTTATGTGTGTTTGATTAGATTTGTTCAACTTTGCCGAATAAGGGGAGATAACTCAGATAAAGTATTTTTTATAATAGAAAGTGAGTTTACTTATTTTGATATGTAACAAGAAAACAAGTTCCGATCGGTGACCCCATTTTTTCTTTTTCTTATCTGGAAGCATCTTATAAGAGCTATCTTCTCACATTTTATCTTAAAGTTCTATCAAGTAGTTTTCTTTTTATCACACAAAATTTGATTTTCCATGTATAATCTGTGCAAAATCTGACAATTTTGCACAACCTCTAGCGTGAAAAAAAGTTCGGTGACCCATACTTTTTATTATAATTTAAAAAAAAAGCATGATAAAAACTTCATTTTCACAAATTATCAAAAATTTCTATCAATTTTAATTAAGACGCCCCAGCCACCTTAATAGGCACCACTAATCAGACAAATTTTTCCATGCCCATAAATTCCGAATCTTGAAATTTTCCATTCCATGAAAAGATGTGTCTTCATCATTGCATCAGAAAGGATTGTGGACATTGTTAATTAACAGAAAACGTACAATTTTTCGGGAGCTTCTTGAATTATTCAGGCTTTGTTGATTTTTGATTAAATTCTATTTTCTATGAAACCCCCCTTGAAAAAGCAAAAACAAAGAGCACATTCATTCGGTTCATAAATATAACATCATTAATTACATTTTGATAATAATATTTCAGTAAAGAAAACTTTCAGTTTTGATAAAAACCTATGAAACAGAGAGCAAAGATTGTGAATTCTGTATCAACAGTTTAAGTTAACAACAAAAGTTAACCCAATAACCTCGTCTGTTAATTTGATAATTTGTTGTTAATGGCAGATCTTCGTTAGTCTCTGTGGTAGTTATTCCCAACTTTTTTTTTAAGACTCGGTCAATGTAGAGCTTGACATGCTGTATGATTAAAGACTGTAGATTTATTTTGTATTTTTGTGTGGCGTAGGTTTTGTCTCATTTACATAAACCCCCATATTTCATAAAGGTTGATTTCCAAATCTAATCATATATATCAGTTATAAGGTTGTTACAAAGTGTTTGTGTTATGCAACGATGCACCTCTGATTTTCCCGAACAAAATGGTAGAATAATTCTTCGACAATAAAACAAGAGTGCACACGCTGAAATGTCTAGCCTACTATACTGACCATTGATTTTGTGTTGATAGTCCTTCATATAAAAATTTTCTACAAGTATCACATTAACATTTATAATCCAAGAAAATGAGGTCAAGGTCAGATAAACCAAGCCGGAAAAACATGTACACCTTTAATACAATCATTCCATACACAGAATATAGATGACATATTGCTTATAGTATAAACGAAACAGACCAAACCATGGAAATTCTATATTGACCAATGAACCATGAAAATGAAGTCAAGGTCATATGAACCCCGCTAGACAGACATGTACACCTTAAAATCATTCCATGCATCAAATATAGTTTACCTATTGCTTATAGTATCTAAGAAACAAAGTTAACCAGGAAAACAGAACATTGACCAATGAACCATGAAAATGAGGTAAAGGTCAGATGATACCTGACAGACAGACATATACACCTTACAATCATTCCATACACCAAATATAGTTGACCTATTGCTTAAAGTTTAAGAAAAACAGACCAAAACACAAAAACTTAACATTGAGCAATGAAACGTGAAAATGAGGTCAAGGTCAAATAAAACCTGCCAGACTGACATGTACATCGTAAAATATTTCCATACACCAAATATAGTTGACCTACTGCATACAGTATTAGAAAAACAGACAAAAGCACAAAAACGTAACATTGAGCAATGAACCGTGAAAATGAGGTCAAGGACAAATGAAACCTGCCAGACTGACATGTACATCGTAAAATATTTCCATAAACCAAATATAGTTGACCTACTGCATGCAGTATTAGAAAAAAACAGACCAAAACACAAAAACGTAACATTGAATAATGACCGTGAAAATGAGGTCAATGTCAAATAAAACCTGTTAGACTGACATGTACATCGTAAAATATTTCCATAAACCAAATATAGTTGACCTTCTGCATACAGTATTAGAAAAACAGACAAAAGCACAAAAACTTAACATTGAGCAATGAACCGTGAAAATCAGGTCAAGGACAAATGAAACCTGCCAGACTGACATGTACATCGTAAAATATTTCCATAAACCAAATATAGTTGACCTACTGCATGCAGTATTAGAAAAAACAGACCAAAACACAAAAACGTAACATTGAACAATGACCGTGAAAATGAGTTCAATGTCAAATAAAACCTGTTAGACTGACATGTACATCGTAAAATATTTCCATACACCAAATATAGTTGACCTATTGCTTAGAGTTTAAAAAAAAAACAGACCAAAACACAAAAACTTAACATTGAGCAATGAAACGTGAAAATTAGGTCAAGGTCAAATAAAACCTGCTAGACTGACATGTACATCGTAAAATATATCCATACACCAAATATAGTTGACCTACTGCATACAGTATTAGAATGAAATTCTCCGCTGGGCGCAGCTTGATACGACCGCAGAGGTCGAACCCTGAACAGATGGGGCAAGTATGGACACAAAGTTCAGGCTTGATACAGCACTGAATTTGGATTGTGATTAAATATTTGACACAGCACAGGTTTCTGACACAGAATGAATGTGGTCTAACCATATCATTATTATTTGCTTTTATATATAAATCAGAAATAACCAATTTAAAATGGAAAATTTAAAAGAAAAAAAATCCCCCCCCCCAAAAAAATTTTTTGAACCCCCTTATGATTCATCACCCCCAAACTCAATCTTAGCCTTCCCTTTGTGGTATGGTACCTGCCGGACAATTTCAGAGAGATCCATACACTTGAACACAAGTTATTGTCTATAAACTAGAAAAATGCTTGTTTTTTGGCCCCAAATTCCTAAACGTTTAGGGCAATTACCCCCAAACTCAAACCAAGCTTCCCTTTGTGATATGGAACCTTGTAGTACAATTTCATAAAGATCCATACACTTACACACAAGTTATTGTCCTGAAACTAGAAAAATGCTTGTTTTTTGCCCCTAATTCCTAAAATTTTGAAGCAATTACCCCCAAAATCATTCCCAGCCTTCCCTTTGTAGTATGGTACCTTGCAGTACAATTTCAGAGAGATCCATACACTTGAACACAAGCTATTGTCTGGAAACTAGAAAAATGCTTATTTGTGGCCCCTTTTTGGCCCCTTATTCCTTAACGTTTCGGGAAATTACCCCCAAACTCAATTCCAGCTTTCCCTTTGTGATATGGAACCTTGTAGTACAATTTCAGAAAGATCCATACACTTACACACAAGTTATTGTCATGAAACTAGAAAAATGCTTGTTTTTTGCCCCTTTTATGGCCCCTAATTCCTAATATTTTGAGGCAATTACCCCCAAAATCAATCCCAGCATTCCCTGTGTGATATCGAACCTTGTGGTACAATGTCAGAGAGATCCATACACTAACACACAAGTTATGTCTGGAAGTTACAAAAATGCTTATTTTTGGCCCCTTATTCCTTAACTGTTGGTACCATAACCCCCAAAATCAATCCCAACCTTCCTTTTGTGGTATTGAACCTTATGGTAAAATTTCATAGAGATCCATTCACTTAAACTAAAGTTAGAGTGCGAAAACCAATGTGTCTTCGGACGACGCCGGACGGGTGGGAAGTCTAGGATGAGATTTGAAAAAAGGCAGGACAGGAGTTTTGAGTAAAAAAAAAGGGCAGGATGAGCAACTTGGCAAAAAAAAAAAAAACAAAAAAAAGGCAGGATGACAATTTATGTAAAAAAAGTCAGGACAGGCAGGACAACGTTTTTCATCCTAGCCCCCCCCCCCCCCCTAAAAATCAAATAGTAGCTCCCTTAGTCTCTGTGGTAGTTATTCCCAAATTTTTTTAAGACTCGGTCAATGTAGAGCTTGACATGCTGTATGGTTAAATACTGTAGATTTATTTTGTATTTTTTGTGTGGCGTAGGTTTTGTCTCCTTTACATAAACCCCCATATTTCATAAAGGTTGATTTCCAAATCTAATCATATATATCAGTTATAAGGTTGTTAAAAAGTGTTTGTGTTATGCAACGATGCTCCTCTGCTTTTCCCGAACAAAATGGTAGAATAATTCTTCGATAATAAAACAAGAGTGCACACGCTTAAATGTCTC